TCTAGCTCAGCTCTTCCTTCTCTCCTGGGATGGCATCTTCCCCAGAGAGGTTTGCTGAATGGCTCGGCTAAAACCACAACCCTTTCCTCCCCATCCCCATTCTCTTACTTGTTGAATTTTCTTCACAGCATTTATCATGATTAACATTTTTGTGATGTTAGAATTTATAATAAAACTGTGCATTTGGTCTTTTTCAACTCTGGCACAGAGCTCCTAAAACACTTGAATTTTGTAAATGACAAGAAACAGCTGCTGGGGGTTAGGGAGATGGCTCAGTGCTTACAGCACTAACAGCTCTTCCAGAGGCTGTGGATTCAATTCCCAGCACCCACTTGTGTAGAACCGTGAAAGGATAGCATGATTTCTGGTTGAGCACTGGCTAGAAATCACCGGAGACCCCAGGTGATCCTAAGGGACAGCATGAATTTCGCCATGCTCCCAGACTACAGGCTCCTGACACGAGGCCACAGACAGGCTCAGGACAATGGCCCCTAGCCCCTCCACAGGTAGAGGGCGTGACTACAGGCCACATAGCCTCCATATTAATGAGATACCTAAAGGCCAGAGGGGCATAGCCAATTAAACATTCCTTCCCAGACCCTCCTCCTTGCAAAAGGTATTTAACCTCAGACCCACCCTGAGAATAATGGATATAGTTTTCATCCATTTTCTGCCATGACAAAAAAACATCTTAAGACCATGGACTATTTTCCTTCCTTGGAATCTAACATAGGAACTAGTGGAACAGGTCTTTATCCACAGAGCCTCTGTCTAATCTCTGGTAGAAGAACTCTCTGCATTCCCAACTGCTGGAGACCACCAACCCAGCCACCCAAGCCAAGCCAGCCACCAAGAACTCTACTCTCTGAGGGACACAGCTTCTCCCCTTCCCCACTTTGGCTGCGGGCAAATTTAGCCCATATGCCCTCACTTCGTTCTTGGCCCTTCCATGGCCCACTCCAGCAGTGCCTGGTAGCCCAAGGGACTGAGAACCAGCCAGTTCCTGCCTGCCTTTTGGCTGGACCCCCAAACCAAGAGCTGCAACTCCCCGCAGGACCTCAGACTGCTTCCTAGCCCCGAGTAGAGTTCCATGGATTCACATACCCCGATGCCCGCCAGGCACCAGCGTGGAGTGAGCACAGTCAAATTCCCGCACCTCTGTCCCCATGAGAGGCCCTAGCCACTTGTTGAGACAGACACAGGACCCACACATCCACCCAACAATAGGTCCCACACATACTACAACCCAACACATTTGTAGTACATAACTGCCTGCAACTCTAGTTCTAGAGGGGCTGACTTTCCTGGCCAGCATGAGCGCTGTACACATATGATACACAGGCATCTATGCAGGCAAAATACAGACATAGAAGAAAAACAAAGTTATTCATAAAAAGTCCCCTCCAGGTTCTTAGATGACCACAGCATTGGCCTAATTGCCAGGGAAACTAGCCAGTGTAGGATGGGAGGACTAGAGTTTCAGTGTCACTTCAGGAAGCAAGAAGGAAGCCAACATCAGAATTTGGTCATTCATGCCTCTGTGGCAGAACCTCTATAAAACCTCTAGACTATGGGGCCTAGTGACTACACTGAGGTGCTGCTTTGTCTGGAAATTCTAGTTTTCTCCCTCTAACTTTCTTTATGCACCCCTTCAGTCTGGCTATCCCTGAAGTACATACTGTATAATAAACCTGACAATGGTGCTGTTCCCTGTGCTGTGAGCTACTCTCACACTTTTACATCTGAGGGTGGGAGCTATAGGAATTCCTGACGGAAAACAAGTTGATAAGAAGAAATCTGGGCATGTGATGAATTTGGAATAGGAGCAGTGTTGACACCAGCTCTGTGGACAGAATTATACTGTAGGACACTGGGGGGACATCAGAGCCTAGGTGGTGTGGGTTTAATAACAAAGACTTGAAAGGAGACTTCCCTAAAGGGACTGACTTTCCACTTAGGTCTAACAGGTCAACACTTGGCATCTCTGTCTTCACTTAGGTCTAATGGGTAACTAATCAGAATTAAACACTTGGCATCTCTGCCTCCATTTTGAATTTGCTCACTTTGTCAGCCTCCTGTGTCATTACCTTGAATCCTAGGAGCTACAGATCTGATAAAGATTTTGTGTGGACAGTCTTCACTGTTGCTTAGGCAGCAGTGACCCTTATCACAACAGGGTTCCCCCTGACTAGTCCTGAGATAATGATAAACCAAACCACAGTTTGACCAAGACTCATTAATTCGGCATACGTCCCAATTCCTGCCCCCATATTAATGAGTGTTCAGGTCAGTATTCCCCTCTACAGTGGAGACATCATGCTTAATATTGTAATGTCTTTCAATACAGTTATTACCTTAATCTCTCTCAATATTGATATATTGATTACATTTCGTTCCTTCCTCTTTACTAATAGTTTTCCTTTTGGTTTCTGGGTCAAATGGTGGCTAGATACAATTTGTTGGATCTCTTGCCATGTCCTGCTGCACTCTCAGAGGGCACCAGAGGGACTCCTATGTGTTATAATTGTAGGTTCTCAGATTTTCTTATTACATGCTGAAGACACCACTGTGTACTGACCACCATTTGTCATTGAGAAATCTGAATCAATGTGCTTGATACTTGTACCATACTAAGTATGGTTGTTCAGCTTCTACTGTTGGAAGATTTTAGACTGAACTCTCATGGCAAGGCAATCAGACACATTTGATACTTGGTGTGTCATATTGTTGAGGAAATTGTGGTCTACTGTTTATTTTCCCACTCTTTATGTTCCCCTTTTTGGCATTAAGCCTTCCCTCTGCTGTCTTGATGCTGAGCTACTTCCTGCCCTTTGTCCTCTGGATGATCCTTCTTTTCAGTTTGCAGCCAGATCCACAGTCCAGTTAAACGCTCACTGACATCCTTCTGCCTAATAGATGCATCTTCTGGGTGTACAAATTGGCATCTCTCACAAATTGGAACTCTCTTCATGAGTTGTCTGACTGCCTATAAGGGTCTGTTATTTTTGTGTTCCTCTTGGTCCTCACTTCCTGCTGTTATTCTTCCCTCAGTCTGGCATGCCTTAATGCTCCAGTTGCTTGTGATGTCATGCTTTCACTGGAGATTCAGTGTACATTTACTCGTCCACTGACGTCCAACTTTGTGAACCAGCGAGTTACAGGACTACAGGTGAGAGGTAACTTACAGAATCAGAAATGATTCAAAGACAGCTGCATCACCAAAGCTCACCTTAGCACAAGTGACAACTCACAAAGCTGGGGACACTGCATAGCCTGCAGGCAGCTCAGTAGGTTGCAGAGTGTCCTTTCCAGGTACCTCTGCTCTACACCTCTTCCAGGCAGCTCAGCTGGTTTCTGCTTCTTCCAGGCAGCTGGTCTGGTCTCAGAGTCTTCTTTGCAGCTCAGCCTGTCTGAGACCTCTTGGCACCTCTGCTCCTATGAATCTGGTCAGTTTCAGGACTTCCTGAAGCTACTTAGAGTTTTTTAACTTCTTGCTTTGAGAAGGCTAGGCTAACACCATGACAGGCTTCAAATTGGCAGTTCAGGAGACTGGGCTTAAATCTCTATTTCCAAGAACTAGGCAAGTCCAGGCCTCAGAAGCTTCCCTGCCACTTGTTCTAAGGACAATGGGTCAGCAACAGTTTCCAGACTTCCAGAGAAACAGACTCCAGGCCCCTAGGACCAAGCAATGGTTCTGGAATATCCCTAGAGATGGAGAAGCAAGATGAAGGGCTCTTGTCTCCAGGCATTTCCTTCACTCCAGAAAACACACTGAGAGGCCAGGGAGCGACACTGTGGGAGGAATGACGAGTCCAGATCATGAATCAATCACCCCAGTACTGTCTGTGAGTCTCACACCCCATACCTGATGGAGACACGGCTATGCCACCCTGCTGAAGACTGTCCACTTACCGAGCTGCCCTTTAGCCAGGGACCAGATTCTTACATGCACTCAGTTTTAGAATATTTATTTGATTTATTTACATAATTAGTAGAAAGGAGTTCTTAAAAATATTACATTTGCTTTTAGAAATAACAGAAAGTAAAACTGGCTAGAGTCATGTTCCACAATTTCAGAAAGGCATATCCATCCTTCCAGAGGAGGGATTTTCACTGCCCATAATGGAAACTTGTAAGCAGCTGTTGACAGAGGGTCAGTGATGCAGATGAAGCTAAGAGCCCTTCTAAGCTTTCCAGATTTTCTTTGTGATCACTGTTTACTTCTGAGGCCAGTGGAAAGGGTTCTGAAAGTAAAAGGCACCTCGAGTAAAACCAGACTGTACCCAATAAAAGCTACAGGCTTATATCAAGGGGAGGCCTCCCCTGAAAAATGCTGACAGACTAATCATAAAAGCCATTGTAAAGCCGGGCAGTGGTGGCGCACGCCTTTAATCCCAGCACTTGGGAGGCAGAGGCAGGTGGATTTCTGAGTTCGAGGCCAGCCTGGTCTACAGAGTAAGTTCCAGGATGGCCAGGGCTACACGGAGAAACCCTGTCTTGAAAAACCAAAAACAATAACAAAAACAAAAAAAAAAACCCCAAAAAACAAAAAACAAAACCAAAAAAAAAGCCACTGCAAGCTAAGATGTATATAAATGCTTACCTGAATCTAATGCATAGTCACACAACAAAACCATGCTGTGTTTAACCTGTGGATGTCTTGTTATCATTGAAACCAACATGAGTACTGTGTGTTAAGTGTGCAATTGCTAATTTCCAGTCAAGATCTGTCCGCTGCATTTGCTCTTGACATGAACCATTGTGCAACCCTATCACGAACTCATAAGATTCTTGTTTGTACTTCAGGTGCGCAGCAAAACCTAAAACTACAACTTTAAACCAAAGCCCCCTTTACTGTTATAAAGCTGCAGAGCTGATACCGTACTAGAATTTGAGCACCTAATGGATATTCTGACCAATTTATATTTTCTGAGCTATAATTAGGATCCTCAGGATGTGTGGGTGTACAAATATTGCAAAGTATTTAAGCTGATAAAAACTTTACAAAATACAAATAATCCTTTACTATAAAAGTTTCAAATTCCAAACATGAGTCAGCACTTAAAAAAGACCAGAGCAGGAGGTCAGAGGCAGGCCTGCCCCATCTCATCGCAGCCAGCTTGTGTTTAGCTGGGTCTGGTTCTTGATGCTGGTGTCCATTTTGAGCACTTCTCGAATGGCCATGGTGGCGTAAGTAGAAGGAGGAAGAGAAAAGTCCATCTTCAGAGCCCTGTATTTGCCTTCTGCCAGGCAAGAAAAAAGACCACCATTAAAGACCGAAGATAGCTGCAGGTGGACCAAAGATCACAGGACTCCACCAAAAGGACACCCCCCAAAAGGGCGAAGAGAACCAACCCTCTAAAATTGTCCTCTGAACTTCACATGTATGTGATGTGCTGTGCACGCACAGACCCACAAGAAAACACTTCACATCGTGCTGACTTACCAGAAGCAAAGACTGGCGGTGGTTTTCCCTCTAGGTTGTCCACATCCGTGTTGAAAAGTGGAATTTTAGGATCATCATATGCAACAACTTCCCTTCAAAACACAGAGAAGTAAGCATGAATGGACATCAGAAACACAGAGAGGTGAGCACAGAGAGGTG